CTGCATGCATGCCGCGTCATGCGATCACCATGTACATGTGTACAGAGGATGTTTGATATGAGATTGGACTGAATAATGCACGTGAGTTTCTCACGCATAATTAAATAGCGATATATATATATATATATATATATATATATATATATATATATATATATATATATATATATATATATATATATATATATATATATATGAAAAATTTCTCCGATTTAATCGGTAGAGAAGACAATATTTATGAATAAAAATGACAATAGGAAAACTGGTAATTGCTGACGCGTTTCGTCCAATGTGGACTTTATCAAAGCAAAATACGAAAATGAAATTAAATGAACAAAGTAATTAATAAAAACAAAAACAGAATGTACCTAGCAACTGGAATGTAGAGAAACGCTATTTTCATATTTTTTAACTGAAAAATAACGTCAGAGATTGATTTGATTTTTAAAAATGCTACACTCATAAAAAAAGAAAATAACTCACTCAGAAGGAAAATTCTGGAGAGTGCCGCCATAGAAAATTATCCAAATATTAATTTACGCCCAGGCTTTTTCCCTATTTCACCTTTCTTAACAAAATTAATGCTCTTACAAACAAATATGCACAACAGATTCATAAAATCGAAAGAAAATGGTTGAATACATCAACACAGATATAATGACAATATTCTCCACACGTGACAATATATATATATATGGAGAATTATAATTTAAAGGTATGCTATATTTATGGGATAAAGTGCTCAATATCAGAGATAGTGTTTATGTAAATATAAAAGTGAGCATTAATTAACGTCAACACTCAAAGGAGACAGACTGTTTCATGCTAAACGCAATGATCGAGACTGATGACTGCGTCTAGCATGAAACAGTGTGTCGACTCTTCAATGTTCACTTATATATATATATATATATATATATATAAATATAATTATTTATTTAAAAATATGATTCCAAATCGCGCAATTATATTTATGCTCTACTTTTGTATCGAGCACTATTTTTTAAAAATAATAACTAAAATACGAAGGGACCTTGGATTATTTACCTAACCATTTTCTATATATTTTCACATATATATATATATATATATATATATATATATATATATATATATATATATATATATATATATATATATATATATGATTCTAGTCCGTATTTATACGTATTCAAATTAGAAGAGCGCTTGAAGTCACCCAAAATGTTTGAGAAAGTGATGTCTGGGGTTAAAAACTCCCGAATTTTTTAACTTAATTTTATAATACCGTTTACACTATTTACGCTGTCCGGGCTGTTGTCCTCATCTTTATTGTCATATTCACGACGTTTCCCCGTTGTACGATCTGTCCATCTTCAGGTTGTATATGTTAGATTTTCGAACCGAATCCTATATTTTCTCTACGAGATTGTTCTAATTCCATAACATTTCCGCATATCATAGTTTCAGTTATCTCCCTTTAGTAGCTAAACTCTCCAAGCTTTATGTTCACCTCTGCTTTGGCCAGGTATTGAACTCACAACTCTTTGTGCCAATTTATTCGACTTTTCTGGCATCTGAACACTGTCAGAAAAATTGAACTACAACCAAAAGAGAATGTAAGTAAGATTTAAATATATTAGTAAAAAATAATAATGTTTAGAATATAGATTAAAAAAGTAAACTATTAAACATTTCTTTACGACAGGTGCCCATTTTCATCGGAATAGTATATAATATGTTAGTTTAAAAAGATAAGCGCAAAGAACAGTTAATTTCAGATTATTCCTTTGGCTATTTCATAGCACCGAAATGTTCTAGTTTGAGTTTTTATCGATTTACTTTTGGACGATATCCGAATAAATAATAAAAAAAAAAATTGTCACACTTCAACGGAACACTTTTATGCAACGTAAAATTTATTCCCATCAGGTTGGGTTTGAAATTGATAGATTTTATTCTCTTTTATATTTACGCTTGTGTGGGAACTATGATAAAAAATCTTCCCTCGTGTCATTTTCACACAGTATTTAAGAAATTGTTTACCGTATTTGACGGCTTATAAGATGCACGGGTATATAAGACGCTCCCCAATTTCAGCATGGAAAATGAAGAAAAAATCAGCAATTAGTAAAATTATTTGTAAATAGTACAGCCTAGGATATATTTATTAGGTATTATTTTGGTTAAACAAGCCATGATTACAATTAAACGAAAAATAATAGGAAAAAAAAACATGAGCCTATAAAAAATTTATTATACCCAAAGGTAAGAAAACAAAATAAAAATCAAGCAATTATTACAATTGAGCAAAACAGTAGTTATCATTAAAATTTGATTCATCTTCAAATCTAAAATTCTTCGTCTTTGTAATCAAAACTCTGATACTTATTTTCAATACTACTATCATCGTCCATCGTAAAATAGTACGTTATCTTCCGTTCCACTGAGGGCATTACTAATGCCACACTCTTTAAAAGATTTCACAAAAATTTCTGGTCTAATATTATTCCAAGCTTGCTACAACCATTCGCAGATATGTGCAATGCTGGGTCTTTTTATTCTTCCTGTTAGCGTAAGGTCGTGATCAGGCATTGCCATCGACGTGTTCCATAGCTCCTTCCTGTTTAAGTCTAAGCTAATAGGAGTTACCAGGTAGCTAATTTCGGCCGACTATCGTGAATCTTAAACGTATATATAGCATATAAGACGCAGGGGAAATTTAAAAGATATATTTAGTAAAACAAAGTGTAACTTATATGTCATCAAATAGGGTACTTAATTCTTTATGATTTTTGAAATTAGGTAAATCTACAAGCCTAAAAGGAAACATTTTAAATGTGTGTTCCATGAACTTACAGATATAAATTTCTGTGAGCCTTTGAAACATCGTCTGATTTTTTCACAAAAAAATGTTCAGTCTTTCACAACACTATAAACATTATAAAGAAGTCGATATGAATACAGAATAGGGCAGATTAAAGCGGCTTTTTTTTTAAAAGGGTTGGACAGTCCTGCTATCAACAGTTATTCTTAGTTTGTTTGTTTTGGGGTTCAATCCCCCCCCCTTTCATTGTAGATCATTAGATTTTTATGTTTGAAATGGTTCTGATCATCAAATTATTTCTTTTAGGTCCGCCCTGAGAGTATGCGGCATTATGGTATACAGAGGATTGATTGGGGACGGATGAGTTCTTGTGGTGAATTGCAACTTGCAATGAGTGAATGGGTTTTGAATCGTATTCGCTAAGTTTAGGATAGTAAAGACCAGCTTCAAATTATTCCTCCTTTTCGGCCTCGTGTCATAATTGTATTTCAGACATTTTTTTTATGTTTATACGTTCTTTTTATAGATACAAATATTTAAGGCATGTCAGGCTATATGACGGTTCCGTATAGGATACAGGTTCGATTCCTGTCAGAGGACGCATATTTTGTATGACAATTTCTCGGGTAAATGTTGTTAATACTGTTTATTATAAACTGAGCATCGACTTAAATATTTGTATCTATAAAAAGAACGTATAAACATAAAAAAATGTCTTAAAAATAATTGTCGGATTTTGTCCATTTCATAAGGAATGACGTCATTTGTTTACATTTGGATACACATTGAGCAGGTAGGAATGAATGAGAGAAAATCATAGAAAATTGTGTTTAAAAACAGTAAAATCGACCCTGCTAACCAAACGCTCCTCTGTGGCCCAATCGGTTAAGGCACGTCAGGCTTTTGACGGTTCTGTATAGGATACAGGTTCGATTCCTGTCGGAGTACGCATATTTTCTGTGAAAATTTCTCGGACATTCAGGCCGGTAAATGTTGTTAATACTGTTTATTATAAACAGAGCATTTACTTAAATATTTGTATCTATAAAAAGAATGTATAAACATAAAAAAAATGTCTTAAATAATTGTCGGACTTTGTCCATTTCATAATGTATAATTGTATTTCTATACAATAAATATCGATAAAGAAGCCGATTAGGCATTAAAATTATTTAATGATTCTATATATTACGTAAAGGATTCACGTATCATCATTTATATTCTGTAACTTTTACGCTTCTTCGAGGATATTCTGATGATGTAAACAAGAATAAAATGTGTTGGATAGGGAATTGTAGAATGGTAGAGATATTATTTTCGTTTCCTGTAAAAGCTGATACAACACTTTCGGTGGAACACATATAGAGGTTGATGATTGTTTTAGAACCACATCGAATAATATATTGTCGCAAACAAAATTCGAAAGAGAATCACAATCGTAACCAAATAACTATAATTTTATTCACACTTTCTATAAACATTTTTAATGTTACACAATTACATGATTCATAGTACAGATTTGAGACAGTCACAAAATAACATTTTATTACTTAGGATTGACGGATATTCTTAGATTCATACAAAGGATTCTTTGGGGCCTTTTTTTTCTGGAAGTCAAGCCTGTCAGTTTGTACTTTCTATTCTCCCGGCTAACTAAAGCTGAATAAAACCAAAAAAGTTGATACGAATCTTCCTGTTTTCGTTCTTTTTATAACTATTTTCTTTTATTTCTCTTATCGATTTATATTTTTTCTTTATAAAATAATTTTTTTAGGGTTGTATATTATAATTATTTCTGTTTCTTTCCACTTGTCAGACTATGTCATTACAAGGAAATATTTTAAATTTATTTATTTTGATTTTTCTTCTTAGTTCATTTTTTATAAGCGCCATTATTTTTTTTTTTTTTTGCTTTTTCCTTTACTGTGTATCCCAAGGTGGTTAACCGTCGATAAATGGACGTAAAAGCAACAGACACTAAATATTTACTCTTTCAACACCGTACAGGAAGGGAAAAGGGCTGCACCGAATCGTCTCTGTTTGGACGGCGTTTCGTTTTTCATTAAAAATTCAATGAAAGTATGGAATAATTTTGCTGATGTTTTCAATATCTGAGTAATCGAGGCTTAATACGATGACCTCGACATATTCCTCACCGAAAAAAGTGGTATCCTTACCTAATGTTTATAGTGTTATGATCTATCTATCTATCTATCTATCTATCTATCTATCTATCTATCTATCTATCTATCTTATTCATAGTGTTATCATTTATCTATATTATTTACAGTGTTATGGTCTATCTATTTTATTTATATTGTTATAATCTATCTATCTATCTATATTATTTATTGTGTAATGATCTATCTATGCATGTATGTATCTATCTATCTTATTTATAGCGTTATCATCTATCTATCTTTATTATGTAGTGTTATTATCTATCTATTTTATTTATTTTGTTATGATCTATCTATCAATCTATCTTATCTATCTATCTATCTATCTATCTATCTATCTATCTACCTATCTATCTATCTTATTTATAGTGTTATGATCTATCTATCTATATCATTTACAGTGTTATGATCTATTTTTTTCATATATATTATTATGATCTATCTACCTATCAATCTATCTATCTTATTTATAGTGTTATGATCTATCTATCTATCTATCTATCTATCTATCTATCTATCTATCTATATATATATATATGCATATCCGAATACAACGAGAACGATTTTTTACATACAAACAAAACAAATTGCTCACTACAAAGATGCAATCTTGTTTTGATGTTGTTGAAATTGTTTTTAGTGAAAAAAAGAGCCTGACATTCCATAAGCGGCTTGCTTGTAAATAGAATTGTTCATAACAATTTTTGGCCCTCACCAGTCGAGATGCATGCGCAACGAAACAAGATTGCATCTTTGTAGTGAGTAATTTGTTTTGTCCGTATTTAAAAATTATAAATTCAATTTGTTCCTGAATGCCGTTCGTAACCCGAAATTTACGTAAACCGAAACTATTTTTCCAATAGGAATTAATGTAGAGAAAAAATCACAGTACAATAAAATTGGGAAAGAAAAGCATGGAACAACACAAGGATGTATAGAACACGGCGGCCAATCCGTTCGGGTTAACTCGGTTCGGCAATGTTGTTCGAAAACCGAAATTTTGTTCGATAACCGAGGAATTTTCCTCTCGAATTTTCTGTTCGAAAACCGATTTCTACGATATGTGAAACATTCGAGAACGGAGGTGGCTCTGTCTTTCATTTCATTAATGTTTTTATCTGTTTCTGATCACTAGTTTGCAGGTGTTTCAAAATCTCTAATGCTCTCTGGGGTCAAACTAAAAATTATATTTCATTCTTTTATCTCGTGAATCATGGCTGGCATATGAGGAAATTATCGGTTTTTGTATAGAATTGACCACATACCTAATCTACGTTAATTTTCCAATATCACCGAAGAAAAAAAACAAGAAAATAACGACTATTTGCAGATAACATTTAAAAAAAAATAAAAACGATCCTGTGTATATGCATTATTCCATTCTATCAGTCAAACTGGATCATCCACCCCCAGGACAAACAGTGGCTTTCTGCTTTCATAAAAGTCGAGGAAAATGATAGCCATCGAAAGTAGGCGATTGACAGACAATGTTAATTACTTGTTCAGATTACAGCGGATTAACCGCTTTGACACTTGGTAATTATTTCTCCTACTTCGATTTCAACGTCAGTTTCCAACTTGCCAAGTCAAATAATACGATTTCATGGGAACGATTCAACCCTTGCCCCTTCCCTGGAGACATAAGGAACATTATGGGCAAATCTGAACAAAATAAAATCAGCACTGAGAGATTAGTAATAGGAATATCTGGCCGAAAGGCTCATACAGAAATGGTTAGATAAAGCTATGTTTATTAGCATGGCTCCAGGGAAAATTGTCCAATCACACAATCAATTAGTGACCTTGGGTGAAACTAGCCAGAGTAACCAAATTCAAGGGGTTAAATTGTTAGCATGGTTTTTCGCGTGGATAAAGCGGTGGCGAAAAACAAAGTTGGTTCGAGTGTATTTTTTTATGAAAACTAATATGTAGAATATGTCTGGAAAGAAAAATATCCTACTGGGAAATCGTTGCGTTTGTTCAGATTTACAAACACTATGTAAATATCAGAAAGATGACATTTATATCAACTTGGCGTTGCGTTTTATGTATATACCACCCATAATACACCAATATGTAAATCTCAGAAGGATCGTGGCTTCCAAATTCCATCTAAACTAATATAAATCTTGTATGATAGGATCTTAAATAAGGGTAAATTTGAAATTTATTATTAACGTTCTTATAGAAAGAAAAAATAATTTAAGAAAATTCTAAAACATTAACATTTGTGTCACATAGATTTAGCTGTAAATATAAACTTGCCGATAATTGCATTGGTATAGCCTAAGATATATATATATATATATATATATATATATATATATATATATATATATATATATATATATATATATATATATATATATATATATACGAGGTTTGTCTGAAAAGTAAGGGGACTGATATCCTTCTTGCCACTAAGATGGACGATCAATCAGCAAGTCTAAAACGAGATCTTGCGGCGCTCAGTGCCTGGGAATTGACGAGAATTGTGATAGGACAAATACTGGCTGCTTCACCACGAAAGACTAATATACAGTGCATAAAAACTTAGCAGAGAAGGATGGAAATGCGCTTTAGACTCGGGTTGGGAGGGTTACTTTGAATAGAAACTAATGTTGTTTCTTGTTTGAATTGAAATAAATTGTGGCGCCCTTTTCTATGCATAAGGAAGTTCTCCCTCAATATCATCATAGTTTGTTAATTTATTCTTTTAAATGTAGTTGTGTGTCTACATAAGAACGACTCAAAGGCTGAATACTAAAATAAAGCAACACGATCCAGCGAAAATCCAAAATTTTAAGTACACTTTTCGGACATATTGACCAATACGTACGGGTTTTCCATCGCAGAAAACCTAATAAATATACATAATTGTGCTGTTAATTTTAGTGTGGACTCATTTACCATCCTTAGCAGGTCCCACTCTAATTACTACCTAAAAGTGTTGGAGGCCATCTATATTCTATCGTTGAAGCCTTCTCTATGTAAACAGAAGGACTTTGTATTAGGCCTCCAACTAATTACCATCTAATTTTTTTCTCCCCAATACACTTTGTCCATTTTTCTTTTTAAATAATATAGTTTATTAACCTCAATTTAGCTCTGTTAAATGACGTTCGAAACCGGTTGGCTAGCGCGTTTTTCAATTTTATTTTTTATTATCATCATGAGTGTTAATAATAAAATTAATTTTTGTCTATTTATGACATTTATAAAAAGTAAAATTTATTCATTAAAATTGACATTAGCTTGAACCACGGTCTCTAAAAGACTTCCGCAACTGTTCTGGACGGTCTCCTAGCTTAAGTTGATGAATACTGCCATAATCCTTGCTCTCGGGTCATCTTTGCTGTTACAAGGAGTTTTGTTGGTCTCTCGCGAAACTCGCCCGGCCCATAATAATCAAGGTTTTCGCAGTCTAGGGAGTTAGTTGGCTAGATGTAAGCGGTGATGTAGAAATTGTCTGACAGCCATAACTGTATTCTCTTGATTGTGTTGTATGGTGTAAAGCCCTATTCCCAGATATAGGATCTTCCAGCACCCACCCTTCAGACCCAGGCCAGCACTACCTCCTCAGGTTAGTTGATGTAGGTCTCCGTGTTGTGTTTGAGACCCACGCCAACAAATTTGGGAATTCTTTTCAGAGTGAGGTTTCTGAGCTGCTGCATCTTTTTAATCACCATTAGACTCATACAATCCTTTCTGAATCCACCACACTTTCCTTTGAATGACACCCAAACATTCTGAAATGTTCGTATTGGAGCTTCCAGCGAGAATACCAAGTACACCATGACGTTTCCAAATTTCTGGCGGAGTGATTGCATCATGTTGCTCTTTTGCCCACAGACGGTGCCCAACTGACCCTACTACAGTTTTTGATTTTGTCGACTGTGCATTACAATGCGCTGTCGACAAAATCAAAAGCAAACCACTCACCAGCGCGAAATTAAAATAAAAAATGGCGACAACTTACCCATCGCACCCCGTATAAGTGCGAAAAAAAAACCCAAATAGAAGTAACACGAATAAGATATCTTACTTCTGATAAACTTTATGACATCACAGAGTTGCAACGGTCAGTAATTTATCTTAATTTTATTAGTTTTCGTGTCCAGACATATAAAATGTTATATAGAAAAAAAGACGATTGTTCAATAAAGTCCGAATTTGTGGGCTATCAGTGTCTGGTATTATCAAAATTAATCTTAACAAAACTTAAAATTTAATGTATCACATTTCGTAGTTGATTGATTGATTTTATTTAGCGGCATATCAACCTTTATCTTATCTAATAAAGAAATCTAAATAATTTGACCACAATTTTATGGTTTCGACTAATTATATTTTGAATGCAATTCTATGCCTTCAACGAGAGATAAAATGTATGGTTGGTCATTTTGCTTTAGAAATATATTGTTGGTCATTTATATATATATATATATATATATATATATATATATATATATATATATATATATATATATGTATATATAAAGTATTGCTTGTATTTGTACTATAAACATGTATCTCTTATACTTTTATAGTGTTTTGTTTGGGGCTTTACAATTTACCCATAGCTGGGACCCTAACTAGTATCAAAATTATAAAGAAAAACAGACATCAGAATTGTCTTGCATAATTACTATGTTATGTCATTAGGAACTAGTTTCTAGTGCCTCATACATTAACTCTTGTGCCATGTTTAACTTATGCTTAGGAAATCACCCTTGAGAGCCTCGTTTTCGTGTAATGTTTAGCAATTTTGTCTCGCTAAATCAATTAAGTCTGAGTAGTGAGTTCCATCCTCGCTGGGTGCCATATTCTTTCGGTCTTGTGCCACATCGAAGCTGTGCTTAGAAAATCATCACTGGACAACTCGACGTGGTGTAATGGTTAGCAAGCTTGTCGCGCTAGAATGATTACGACTGAGTAGTGAGTTTGATTCACACTGGGTGTCTCATACTTTTGGCCTTATGCAACATCTAAGCTATGCTTAGAAAATCACTACCTAGGTTCATTGAACGTAACAGACGGATGGAAATAGTGCTATCTTAACAGAAACTTATTCGGCAAACAGACATAAAACCCGCAATGCAATAACTGTATGCAAAATCTTTTAGTTATTTTTATTTTCCAGCTTATCTTTATTTGAAATGTTTTCTACACAATCTCTTGCTTTCAAAATAGAGGGCTTTGGAAACTGCACGCTCTTAATAGAAAAGGATTGCAATTAATATAGTTCGACATCCTAGATCAATTACGACTGTGTAGTGAGTTCGATCCTCACAAGATGCTCCACGCTTTCGGTTTTGTGCTACATCTCAGCTATGCTTAAAAAATATTTAATACTTCACTGACTTTGGCAGAGGTAGTTTGAAATTAATATTAACTCAAGCATCCCACCAGAAACTAGAGGCGAACCCGAAATGGGAATTGTCAAGGGACTTTGAGTAATTTTTCCACGGTATTGCCGCTAACCCCACTTTGAATGTCGACCTTGTATCACATTCAGTAGCGACGTGGGCATGCTGAAAAATCCCGATATACAATAAACTGACAAAGTAAGAATGCACACAAAGGCATATAACTAATTGTAGTTTTATGGTACTGCGCTTTGAGTGATAATCAGCGAAACCATATAAACATGTGGAATAATTCATCTCGTATGAGGAACTTTGTTCTAACCTCGTGGTTCTCAAACGGTGTGGCGGGACTTATAGTTGCGGTTCAAGAGGATGGCAGTTGAGGAGGAATGACTAAAAGACAATCAAATATTTCGAAACAATAAATATTATTATTAATTACTTGTAATTGCGTGCATGAGTCACCAGTATAAATAGTTATAAATAATCACTTACAATTTTATCTACGGTGGAGTAATGGATGAGTGAGTCAGTTGTTCACTTTTGAACCGACTGCTCGGTTGAACTCTCTTCCTACGGACGGGAGGAACCCGAAGGAGGCTACGCCGAAGGGCGGAGTCTCCTTCGGGGAGGTAAAACCGGCGCTGAACCCGTTTATACGGGATTCAATGAGCATATTTTAGGCCGAGCCCACGAGCTTGGAATGCCCACGTTAAAAAAGCCTTGTGCCACATGACACCCTCGTGGGGGTGGTGACTCAATATCGTAATGGATAGCGGCTCGGATTCAGGAATCGGAGAGCAGAGTTCGAATTCCAGTCGAATCCATTACATTCACTTACGTGATTATACCCTTGGGAAAGGTATGAATCATCTCTTTCTCGCCTCGGCTATGAGTCAATAGCAGGATAGATTAGATTCTATAGCATTGGATAGAAACTGATCTACCGCAGAAAGAAATGGCAACCTACTGCGGGAAAATATGTGCCTCATCTGTCATGTATCGAAAGATACATGATCGCCTAAGCTTGTATCACGCATGGCACATAACTGATGTTTTTACATTATTTCAAGTATCCAGAATATAGTAACTGGGTCCGCAAATTGGAGAGAAAAATATCCATAAGACTTTGAATCCGCGGTTATCTCTCTTTAACCCTCTTTGTTTTTATTGTAAAATGTAGTTATAATCACATAAAATTAAGCAAAGTTTAATTCCGAAAATGCGGCCCAGAAAAAAAAAAACGTTTGGGAACAACTGGACTAAAAAAATGATATTTTTCACATCTAATTTTTCTCCGATGCACAGAAAATAGTGAAATTTAATAAAAATTCTAGGAATGATGTGTTAGCAAGTTGTCAGGGATCAAACCTTAAAGGGTTAATGCTGTCCAATAAGCCGACACTGAATTTTAGATAATACCATATTTTATAGCTTTTTAAGACATGATTATTAAAAAATATTTAATTTAGGAAGGAATAGTTAAATACGAATTTTGAATTCCTATTATGATGATTAAATACTGTTATCAAAAGAAAGGTACTCCATATTTCGCAGAAGACTATTCTGAAATATTTTTGTCAATAAGGAAAAGTGCCTAATATCAAATAAAAATACGTTTTTGAAAAGTTAACGAAAAGTGGTCACAGTGCGGATATTCCGATTATCAAAGAGGAACGCTTCTTTAGATGAACACATAATAAACAAATCTATAGTAAGAAATATGTTCACCCGTACAATGAAAACTCAGTGACATAAAAAACGCACTTCCTTTAATTTCTTTCCGGCAAATCAGTGCTTTCCAAAGTGCAAGATCCCGTTCCTCACCTTGCGATTCCAGACAATGAAACGAAATTGCTTTAGTAGTTAAATTAATTTTGAAATTATTTTCCTGGGAGCCAGGTGGCTCCTGTTTAAGCGTCAATATTATAAAGCGTTTCTTCTTTTCAAGAATCATTCATTCAGCTTTCCAGTTAAAGACTTTGGAGAAATAAATAATCAGATCGTCTAAAAAGGGAATTGTTTTTTCCAGAAACTCATGTATATCCATTTACGCAAACATATTATGGACATATCTGATGTAAATATTTGAATAAGCAATTTTTAGTAAAGATATGGGCCTTGTAGATATTTCAGTGAATGTACTGACTGCATAAAAATGGAATCGTAGAATGTAAATATCAACATGAACATATTATTATGCATACATGCAAATGCATAAATAATTATGTAAACATTGACTTCATAAATAGGTAAATATAATATGTAAATAGACCTGCAGTTATATTTGAAGCACGGTAGGGTAAAGGCTATCAGCTCGGATTGAGAAATCGAAGAACAGAGTTCGAATTCCAGTCGAATTCATTACCAGTCGAAAAGATGCATGGTCGCCAAAGAGTGTATCAGGCAACGCACATAAGTAACTGAACTATAGTAATCTTCCAAGCGTAGCTTAGATGTATAAAAAGGCCGAAAGTATGGAGCACCTAGTGAGTATAAAAATCACGACTCAGTCGTAATTGTTCTAGCCAGATAAGCTTGTTAGCCATTACACCACGCTGAGGTGCCCTAAGTGACTGAACTACATATAGGAATATTTGCCCCAAGGACACATGACACAGTGGATAAAGGTGTTGGTTAGATCCAGTAACAGGACCCAAAGAGTGAGTTCAATACCCGGTTAAGGCAGTGGAGAACGTTCATGGCACAAGGGATAAAGGTGTTGGTTAGATCCAGTAACAGGACCCAAAGAGTGTGGAGTTCAATAAGGTGTTGGTTACCCCAAAGAGTGTGTTAAGGCAGTGGAGAACGTTCATGGCACAGGGGATAAAGGTGTTGGTTAGATCCAGTAACAGGACCCAAAGAGTGTGAGTTCAATACCCGGTTAAGGCAGTGGAGAACGTTCATGGCACAGGGGATAAAGGTGTTGGTTAGATCCAGTAACAGGACCCAAAGAGTGTGAGTTCAATACCCGGTTAAGGCAGTAGAGAACGTTCAAAGGGAAATTAACAGGAGATAACTGATAACTGACATCCATTAAACATGGCAACTAGAACAGTCTACCCCAGTGAGCGAAATAAAGGTTTAAGTTCAACATTCCAAACACCTAAAGAAGGCCCGAGCGTACAACGGCCGAACCGTTTTAATATATATGTAGACAAAGATGAAAACAATAGTCCGAATAATGGCTATTATAAATCCTTTATATTTTATTTCGTGAACACCGAGATGTTCAACCATCAGAACGAAATTCCTACACAATGGAGAAAGTAAACATATATGCAGGATTTTAAGTTGTTATGTCATTCAGATGTTTTATACCTTATTTAGTTTTCATCTTTGTCTCATATTTATTCAAACGGTTCGGCCGTTGTAACTTTTCAGGTTTGGAATTATTTTCACTCACTGTTTTTTATCCCAGTTATTACTGGTTAATTTCCTATATTGAACTCATTTATTTGGCTTTATCCACTTGGTCGGCTCCTAGTCTTCAGATTTTTACCAATGCCTCATATTGCAATTCTTGTTGTTATCATTCATGTTTCTACCAGAGCTCATATTGCAACTTTTGTTGTTATTATCCTTATTACTGGTTCCTATATTGCATTTATTTCTATGTTTTTTCAGGAGATTTTTAAAATTTAGCATGATTCCTTAAGTTTACGAATTTTCCAATGGTGTTCTTTGTCTACATGATCCCACAGAGGGCGGTGATCTCGCTTCTCTCTCCATATGTGGTCAGCCATGCCTGGTTTTTCAACTTCCCCTCGTGTTACAGCTTTCTGGTTTTCTTTTGTCATTGGATGAATAGATTTTTGACAGAAACTCATCATTTGTGAGAGTTTATGACCAATTATATCGCATAAGAAAACATTAAACCATCGTCAGATGACAACACTCTAGGTTAAGCATATTAACTTTCACTAGAAACAAATTGTGTGAACTTCAATGTTTAATGGCATTTTCAGTTTGTTAAAAATATTTGCAAAGGATATCAATTTATGTAAAAAACTGGAAACTTTCAAAATGTTTTCCTTGCAAAGATTTCATGAAAAAAAATATATTAAATTAAAAAAAAAATGATCCATCTAAAAAATTATGTTACACTAAAGGCCAAAATTTGAAAATTAACTTACGGACAAAACGACTTATTCCGCCAAACCTTTAAAGAATCAAGATATTGTTAAGTGCTTCAGTATTGAAGCAAATGGTTGGTCGACATTATGACAATCAAATTTATCGGTTCGCATCTTGCATTCGTTCATCCAATGCCGTGTCATTTCAAGACGCATTCTTCAACTTTATTTGACAGTTCTGAATTGTCTATTGTTATGCTTCCGGACAGCGCTAATGATCTCAGGAATCGTGCCAATTTTTCTGCGATTTCCTTCTTGCTTCTCTGTCCAAAATTTACGTCATTGGATGTTATTAGAGTTCAAGTAAAATAACCAGGTTCACAGGCACGGAAATATAATATCATTACTTCGCAAATGTTGAATTCTTAATGACATCAATTTTGTATTCGATGCCAAAGAAAAGAAATCGCACCTTTCCTTCTCTTTTGCTTCTGAACGCATTCAACACATTCCATATACGACTGGTATTTACTCGGAATAGAATACATACAATAGTCTTCCCTATTTGTAGAGTTTCAGCTATTCGCTTTCAACACATGATATAAACAATTCATCTATTTTCCTTAATAATCGTCCGGAATTTCAAGATAATTAGCGCTAGAACTTGAGAGATACTAAAGAGAAGCCTTAATGTTCTACATTTAAGGGAAAAGGAAAAGTATTTTTAATAAAAAAAAAATCTAAAATCATATTCGGTGGTTACTAAGACCTACAGAAAGAAATCTTTTGGTCACATGTTTTAATATAGTATATTATTAAAATTGTTATATTTTAGAATAAGTTATTGTTTTGTTTTATCAATCTCTTACTCTGTTGAATATATATAAACTGTAGTCTATCTATCTATCTATCTATCTATCTATCTATCTATCTATCTATCTATCTATCTATCTCAGTCTGTTCATAATCTATCTATCTATCTATCTATCTATCTATCTATCTATCTATCTATCTATCTATTCATAATCCATCTATTCTATCTATCTATCCATCTATCTATCTATCTATCTATCTATCTATCTATCTATCTATGTGCATGTGTCTGTGCTTGGGTGATGGTTGCCTCCTCGATGTCGAATTTCATGACACATTTGTAACTTACGATATCAAGTACTGGCAATGAATTAAATTGTGAAAGTGGATAAAGTTGTGAAAGTGGAACAAACTCACTCTTTCCACAAAATGAAAACAGCATAAACACAAAAAAGAAAGTGCCAGTCACCATCATTGATTGGTAAAGGTTCCAACAAACACAGCGCGCTTACTGCGTACATACACATCAGCCGAGATATTTCTATGGCCCTGTCCCTATATATATATATATATATATATATATATATATATATATATATATTAGGTTGGTGCAAAATAATGACGTAATAATGTCATTTTGACGTAGTTTTTAACGTCAAAAAACGACATTATTACGTCATTATGTTTGCACCAACCTAATATATAGTGCACGTAGTGCACCAGGTCTCTGTATACGGCCCTTAAAAAAGTGTGGATGGTCCTGCACGAAAACATCACCACTAAAATCAAATCTCATGTGCCGTTGTCGGGCTGTCGGTTTCCTGGAAACCAATCTGCTTGTCGAATCTCGACGGAAGAGTCGACTATATATATATATATATATATATGCGTCATTGAATAATATTGACATACTGTGTCTACTTATTTTTTTTAGTGGTGTCTAATCATTTTCTTAATGTTAAGATGAAATTCATCAAAGAATACGTAGTTTTTTTAATCCAAGTACTTTCGACCTTTTCTAAGATCAGCTTCTGTGTTAAATTACAAAGTTATTGCGTATAAACACGCTGTTACATTTATCTTTAAATTTTAAATTTATCATTTGTAGTTATAGAAGGTTTTTTGCAAAAGATGTTTCAATATTAGGGGACTGACTGGAAATTAATAGAAATGTAAAATGACAGGAAATTTACATGCTCTTTACTATGTTGTTGCTATAGTCGTAATAAATTTTGTTGAGTGTTGGTTGGTATTTTGTTTCCACTTTCATTTGAAACTACTTGGCTGTTTGAAATATATATATATATATATATATATATATATATATATATATATATACTGTATGTCGGTTTCCATGAGAATGTTAGAAAATAATTTGATGTAACGTACAATTAATGTGGTGCGTCAGTCAAAGGTTGGTGTGACTAAAATAATCAAAAAAGACAACTAACACAGAGAAAAGAACATTCACTATACTTATAGCATGTATGAAAAAAATGCGCCTCAGTTGGTGGACTAAAACGTCATATGAATGTTAACGTATAATATTGTAACAGCAACTGCCAGAGGCGCGCAACGTGTACCACATCTGCACAAGAGTCTGTAAGATCACAGCAAGACTATAACTCCACATCAACGATTTCACTCTTCGAATTCCAGTTAATTAACCTTTTAATACTTTATAAATTACTTTTATTTGGTTATTAAAAAAAAATTTTTTTTACTCCTGAGTTGCCATGGCTCTCAGTCGGCAGTGTTGCGTTTTCCTGTACCGCTTTTTTACCCGCTTCTTTGGCGTTCTTGTCAGGGTTAAATTCTTAAAACTTTCTTTCTTCCTTATCTCCCTGAATATTCAGTACAATCTCTTGCTGGCTTGTACACGACATTAAGTTCTCATACATAAAATGATACACTTTATAGGAAATGAATAAAACACTTCTGCAATGTTAACTAATTTATTTATTTGAAATAGGCACCAAGTATGACGGTTCCATAACGGATCTTTAAGTTCTTGATCTCATCTTTAAATAATTTCCATTCTTTGATGTGATAAACAGTTCAAATGCTTAGATTACCTCTTCCGTATTGGAGAATCTTTTATTGCGTATGAAAAGCTCAAAATGCTTTAACAAGTGATAATCAGTAGTAGAGATATCAGGAAAACATGAAGGATGAGGTGAAAATTCATAATTAAGGCTATGCAGCTTTTTGACAGTTGATTGATAAACGTGTGGACGTGCTGTTGTGTAGCAAAATTGGGCCATCCCTATTCACAAGTCTACGGTGTTTCTTTTGCAATTTTTCGTGCATACGCTCAATTTCTCCACAATACGAGGTTACTGCTATTGTTTTCCCTTGAGGCAAGAATGAATAATGAGTAACTCCTTTGAAAGACCACCATATAATAACCATTAATTTTTTAGGGTGCAGTGGAGGTTTTGGGTATTGTTTTGCTTATTTATTTGCATATAACCACTGTTTCATTGTGATCATTTTTATAGGGCTTATATGTAACAATATATTGGAAGAAAAATCATCTGGAAAGAAAAAGTCATTTTTATATACTAAGGAGGTTGCTTCGTTAGACGACCCGATCTATAACCAATCAAAAAATGCGTTATTTCATGTGTGACAACCTAACAAAAAAGCAATCCTTCATTTCTCGCATCGATTAAGTCTTGTCGGAGTTGATTATTTAAAGAACTATTGCAATCAGTATCGTTATGGAAAAAAAATTATTCCTTTGGTCAAAAGAATTTGACCCTTATCAAAATTTCTCTAATCCTGTTATTGCTCAGAACTGTCTTTTAAAATATCCAGATAAAATATTCGTTGGTGTCAATTTCTCATATATATATATATATATAATTATTTATTTAAAAATATGATTCCAAATCGCTACATAAGAGGTCTCATGTTTCAAAACAAGAGCCGAAAACTTCAATATAATCCTTTAAATTAAATTGAGTTGAAATTAAAAAGCGCTCCGTTCCATCTTCAAGCGAATTTTTTGTTGGAATAACGTATATCTGAAATTTACTTGTTTTAAAGGTTGAAATCAAAATCACCATGGTAACAGCTAGGGCGAATTGTCTAAAATGGGTAGGCGAGTGTAGGGTGTTAATGATGAGTGGCGGTATAGAGATACTTTCAAGGTGTCCAGTCGGGGGAAGGTGAGGGTGTTAAAAACGAAACGAAGATGTATTAAGCTTTCGTCAAGTTGGCTTGTCTATGGAGATTTATTTATTTTATTTTATTTTATTTTATTATGAAAGGGAATTGTGCATATAAAAAGAAAAACTTTCGTGGCGTTTGTTTTTTGACGACTTCATAAAGGGTTATCTTTTATGTAAGGTATTTAAACTACTAATTTGGGCTATGGATTATGAAGATTGTTATGTTGTATGCAGGTTTGTAGTTAATAATTTCTACTATGAATCTGATGATTGGGTTATTTGTTAAACAAGTTATATAAATTTTTTTTTTTTTTTCAAACCAAAAATCTGATGATGCCTACAAAAAACCGTTAACTCGTGTCTATTATTTAATAGATTATTATTATTTAGAAGTTTCTTATGTAGCGATTTGGAATCATATTTTTAAATAAATAATTATATTTATGCTCTACTTTTGTATCGAGCACTATTTTTTAAAAATAATAACAAAAATACTAAGGAACTTTGGACTATTTACCTAACCAGTTCCTTCCTATTTTCTATATATTTTCACATATATATATATATATATATATATATATATATATATATATATATATATATAAAGTATAGGATTGGTGTATACTGAATAAATTCCAATAATCAATAAATAATATTCTTAAAAGAGTGCTCAATACAAAGTAGAGCAAATATAATTATTTATTCGAAAATTAAAACATAAACATGTTATAAAATCACTACAAAAATAGTCATTTTGTTTCAACACTTCTGGTGTCTTCTCAAGTGATGATGTTGAATGTATAATAAAGGGTTTTAAAAGGTTTAAATCAATCAAACACCCCTCGCTAGGGGAAACGCTGTTACATAAGCCTGAATGACCAATCAAAATACAAGTATATGAGAATTCAAAAGACTTGACAACGAATTAAGGTTATAATAATTATTTGATGCTTTAATGTTAGGGTTAGACTAAAATATAATTTACTCTATCTAATAAATATTAAATTATACAATAAAATTTGAAATTACAAATTAAAAATTACCCATTTTAAAATTTAAATTTAACCTATATCAAGTTTAAAATTATAAAATTACTGAGGAAAAAAAGAAAAAAATACATATGTTATTCTATTTATTTTATTTTTCTTGAAATTTAGTTGGAATAAACGTTAAAATCAAATGTTGCTCTGAGCTTCATGACAACATAGATACATTTGAAGCATAAAGAGAGGCAGGGGAGGATGACATCTTGCAAACGACATTACATACACAATCAGATTATAATATATAAACACGTAGACATATTTAGATATATACACACAAACAAAAGTTTTCGTCTGAAATGCGTCCTCCAACAGGATTCAAGCCAGTATCCACCTTTGCAGAGGAAACCATTATTTGATCAACGATCGTTTTGAGAAGCACACAAATAAATAATATTAATTATCAAACACTGTCTTACTGTAAGTGTCCACATATTTTATGTTGTCAGATAGAGCAGCTTGATTCACTAGGGTGCAGTGGAGGTTTTGAGTATTGTTTTGGTGATTCATTTGCATCTAACTACTGGCCTACTCTCCTACTGTTGTCAAAGAGTATCCATTTCTCATCGCATGTAATGATTCAATGGAAAAATAGTTTCTTTTTCCAGGTTATACTCTTGTACTCATACAGTAAGATTACTAATATATATATATACGTGTGCGTGTTTGCGAGAGAAGATTGCTTACTAGGACGATTGAAGAAAGAACAACTGATGAACGAATTTACTAATATAGAAGATGACGATTGACGTTGCATTTAAATTTTTGAAGATTGTACTTCCACAAGCGGGAAGTGCGAGAAAAGAAACTGTTGTATTAGAAGTGGCGGTTGCATTTAGCTGTTTCAATGGGTGGGGCCTAGATGGGATAAAGGTAAATTGTTCGAAATCAATTGCTTCACAGTAAATTGCTCTAAATCAATTGCTCGAAAATTAATTTCTCGAACTATCAATTGCTCCAAAGGCAGATTGCTCGAAGTAATTTCGAAGCTCGAAACACCACGTAAACTGCGCCGTCTCACGACACGTCAACGGAACTGGATATAAAAGGAGCCACAACACTCAACTTTAGCAGTCCTGATTTTTTTTTTCTATATTTGTTCTCTATTTCTATTCCAGTAATTTT